ACAACAATCAACAATCAACTGCTGAAGCCTCCCCTGACTCATCAACATTATGTGATCATCAATATGCTGAAATTCTACATGATGAGTTCAGGAAACCGTCATGTGTGGTACATGTTTAGATTGCTCCACACACATGGCGGGTATGACCAGCTGTGAGCAATCAAACCTTGCACATTCTGAGGGGGAGTTTCAGTTTTCTCCTCCTGGCGCCTTACACCGACAAAACAAGGAATCTCTCAAAGGATGCAACATTTTAGGGGGAGTGTTCAATGTTATCCTCCCCGGTGCCTAACAATGACAAAGCATACCGAGTGCTCCAGTTGAGGGGGAGTACAGAGAGAAAATGAGAAAGTAATGAGAGAACATGTCCCTATGGCTTAGTAAACCCAACTAAGCCTACCCAAGGGACAAAGCCGAGCGTAAGTGCGTAAGTGAGCGAGTGAGTGAGTGAACATTATGAGCATTAGGAAGCAGAAGGCTCAAGTGAGAAGAAAAACAATTATCAATGATGAGTCTGCTACCTCAAATGCCTGCTATGAATTGAACATTTGCTCCTAGCCACTAAAATACTCTGGACTATCCCTATAGGTTCAGGACTGAATTTATTCAGATCCCGGGTAGAAGTCGCTGCATTTTGTCCAAACGGCGCATGCACAACCCTACCCTAGACCACTCACTTGTCTCCCAACAGACAGGTGTTTAATCATAGTTCACGGGGAACCGCATCTCTCATTACTGTCTCCTTCTGAGGCAAGTAATACTGACTACAGTGGCCTCAGCCCCATGCCACTGAACTTTCATTGATCACGTCGTGTCTAGTCACTCACTTCCCAAATGTTTTGAAATTTTGCAGGACACAGACACATTTTAGAGTCAGTTGCTAGTCTTCAAGACCTGCGAGAACTTCCATAGGTCTCATCTATTGCAGATGTAGACTAATGATTGGAAGGAAGTCCTGCTGTTGCAACATAAGAATCACCAACATTTTCAGGCCATTGCTTAAGAGTTTATCTCTATAGTGATGATAACGGGCGTCTTCACGACCCCGGGGGGGCTACGTTATTTTTTTAGATTCTGCTTGTTTTTCATGTTTTTATTTCCGCAGAATAAAAGAATAAAAGCATGACGTCCCGATTCATCGGATCGTCATGAGGGGGAGAGTGGTCCACATGCTGTTAACACTGAACAAATCATTCTGGGACACTTCACTCCTCCATCACAAAATTCAACACCCTCTCTACTATCTCCGCAACTCAAATCAAATGGTCAGCTACACTCACAAATCAACCATCATTATGTTCCGCTGTGCCACCGACAAGTTCTCCTCTAAAGCATTCATTTCAAATAGTCAAAAAAAAAGACTACATTGTGGAGGAGACAGAGGTCAAATACTCGTGTCCTGAAGATGAATTCCATGAGCGTCTCCTATTCTCCAAAGAATATTCATTCTAGAGGCGTCACCAGACTTCATCCAAGCTGATCAAGAGCAACTTCTGGAAGGCAATGACTACATGCAAGATACAGAAGGTCCCTCAACCCCCGGCATCAAAGATCAAATTGTCAAGAAGACATCAAAGGGGAGATTGCAAGGATTTCTTCAGATAGCCTTCCTTAGAAGTCAAGTTCAAAGACAAAGGAAGCTCAATAACAACAAAGACAAAGATATCTGCGCTGCAATGCTGATTCAACACGATTGATCACCAAGGGGGAGATTGTTGGGAATATTTTATGGTGTTCAATCTAGTTAGTTATCTTTGTATTTGTGTAGTTATTAATTAATCGTGTAATACAGGCCACAAATGTGTATCAGCCCGTGGGCTTCCTTGTAACCCGTAAGTTAGCCAACTTCTCCTATAAAAGGAGGCTAACTTACGGGAACCCTAACAGATCGAATAGAGGCTTAGAGTTCAGAGGCGTAAAGATAGAGAGATAGGGTTTGCCGCTGCTCTCCTTCTCCAGGGAGAGTAGCGGCGGGTTTTCATACGGTATACCAGATTCGCGTATAATATCTACATATCTTTCTATCTGTTTCTTCTATAACTGCTATGGTTGTATGATTGTTAGTATTCTGGGATTATCATTGCGAGCAGATGGTTTTTGGATGAATAGGATACAAGGGTTTTTGTTTAAAAGTAGACAAGGCACTAATGTTTTTGGGTTTTTGTATGTACTAGCTACAGACAGTGGGTTTTTTGGGGTTTTGTCTTTTTGGGTTTGGGGTACAAATATAGATAATGTACATAAGCAACACCGTCATAAGCTATGATAGCATCTTGTCTTATCTTTTGAATATACAAGCAGACTTTCATCATTAAGGCATCAACAAACATGACTCTCAGACTTTATAATAGCATCACAGAATCCATAGAGGGCTGTCTTAAGCCTTCATAGGATTAACCTGATTGCTTAAGGCAGTCCTCAGTTAGGCAAACACTTTGGCATCAACAAATAGGACCCCTCAGAATTGAACACATCATCACAGAATCCATAGAGGATTGCCTTAAGCCTTCCTAGGATTAGCCTGATTGCTTAAGGCAGTCCTCAGTTAGCCAAACACTTTGGCATCAACAAATAGGACTCTCAGACTTTAACACAGCATCACAGAATACATAGAGGGCTGTCCTAAGCCTCCCTAGGATTAGCTTGGTTGTTTAAGGCAATCCTCAGTTAGACACACACTTTGGTATCAACAAACAGGACTCTCAGAATATAAAAGCAGTCACAGAATCCATAGAACACTGCCTTAAGCCTCCATAGGATTATCCTGGTTGCTTAAGGCAGTCATCGCTTAGGCAACAAGGGCACACACATAGGCATCCACAAATAGGCCATAACAGGACACATGTATCAACATTTGTGCAAATGAAAACATGCATGCATCATGTAATGGACATTACAAGTCCATGCACCGACAGAAGAAGATGAAAAGATTAGTAAGCAGGGATGTGTGACCTTCATTTTTTGTAAAGAGGTAGCCATATTTTAATCCATTCATCGAGGTGCTATTGAACTTTTGGGACTGGATGCGGAGGAAGATACGCAGGTGGAAAATACTCCCCTTCATTATATCTACATGACGAAGGTAAATGGAGGCCATGCTCTTAATGGATGTTGGAATCCTATTTTCCATAGTGTCCGACTGCAACCCCTCTGGTAATCCTTCAACTTTCTGCCCAACATCGCTCCAATCTCCTTCTACACTGTCTTCAACCCTCATCAATGTGAGATCATCTTCGGAATCAGGGATAACATCGGGCCAACAAGAGACATCGTCTGAGTCTTCAACCACCGCACACCCATGCAAGATGAAGATAGAGGTTTTTTCCGCCATTAATGGATCTAGAACTTCAAATCAGGTGTCGGTGGAAAAGACTTCACAAAGGCTGCACAAATCCGAAGACGACAACTAGGGTTGATGAACATAGAGGAATACAGTGAGGCATGAGAGAGGAGCGTAAAAAGTGGAGATATCAGGGATATGTATGGTTGGGTGGGTGGTGGTGGCCGGTTAGATTAATCAGGAGTGATAAATGGGGTAGATGGTAAGGGTATTAAGGTAAATGAATAGGGTAAAAGTTGCTAAAAAAGGAAATAAGGAGATAAAATTGGGACGATCCGAAAAGGAAAGAATGAAATAATTCCGGGGAAAAAATTGGGAGTATTTTTTATTGCAAGAAACAAGAAAAGAGATGTCTTTTTTTTTGAAAGGAAAAAAGATGTCGTTTCGAGGGTTTACATGAGTCTGCCCCTATCGGGACTTTAAAAAAGATGTCGTTTTGATCATTTAAAAATAGGGAAAATAGCCCCAAATGAGACTAAATTGTTGTTAAAATTCCAAAATAGGAGTAGGTATAATTTTATTCCCTAAATAGGACCTTTTTTCCAATTTTACCCTCTAATTCATTTCAACCCTGCGGCAACTCATATGCTTCGTCCACGCTCATAAGGGTCACATCTTCTACGCATAGCTGGGCTTCAACAGAGAGAGCTGGCGCAGCGGCACCTTGCGCCGGCGAGCGCCGGTCAGCACCGCCGATCTGCAATGAGCGTACGTGGTCTGTCTCTTCCTTGCACTCATTTGTTTCTTCAATTTTCTCCGATTGAATCTGGTGTGGTTACGGTGGTGCCAAGCCGCTGAGTCTTCTTTTCTCTTCTTTTCCGTCGATCTGCAACATACTCCATCCCTGTTGCCTCTTTACATCTTCTTTTGTTATATATGAATTTCTGTGAGCCTTTGCATATTCTTCATCATGTTTGGAATCTGTAATTGCTTGGTCATGGGTTTGTAATGACTTGCTGCCTCTGTGTTTGTCAATAATGTTTGAAATTAAACTGATGTGCTTTACTTTGTTTTTATGATTGCCAATTTTGTTTTTAAATGCCATCAAAGTGGCATTTTTTATGGTCATCCACTATGACAGTTCTGTGAGGCGGCATAGGCAACGGAAGATGCTGCCATTTGTTTCAGATTTTTTCTCTATTTCTCATGTGGTGCTTCAAATTGCCACATTTTACCTGAAAATGCCATCAAAATGACATTCTTACACTTCAAAAAGTTTCGTAATTCTTTCGAAAATGCCATTAAAATGACATTCATGATTCATTTTGGCATTCAGAAAAAAATGTTGGCATTAGCGCGGGGTCGGCCAGACCTGCAGCGGCGGCAGCCGGACATCCAATGGCGCCAATCGGTTTGCAAGGCTGGCGGCTGGCGGCGATAAGATCTGGTCAGATCTACGATGGAGATAGCTAGATCTGCACCAAAAACGGCCAGATGTGTATCGGCAACTGCCAAATTTGTAAAGGAGGCGTCCTATTCTGAGGCGGCGGTGACTGCCAGAGGCAGCGATCGGCGTCCGGCGACCGGCGACCGACGATCGGTGGCAGTTTAAGTTCTGTCAGCGGCAGTCTATTTTTCAAGCTCCATGGGTGTTTATGTCTAACTACTAAATACTAATATTAACTCCTATTTGAGGAATTTTCAAACTATAGTCCTATTTTGGCAATTAAGAATTTAATTACTCCTATTTGGGTAAATATGCCTTAAAAATATTGTAATTTCCTCTACACCTCAACTCTCACCTAGCAGCACAAGAATCCTGGTCGCTCGGAGCTTGCTCCACCTCACCAAACGCCAGCGGCAAGTCCAGGTAGCTTGCTCCTACATCTTTATTGAAAAAGAACATGCCAACAAAATCGATGTTGAGTTGGTCATTGATGAATTCGCTACGGTCAAAGAACTTCATTTATACATCTTCATTGATGAAATCGATGATTCTCTAAGGTCAAAGAACGTCGTGCCCAGCTAATGTTTTATTCGCTAAGTTTGACAATATTTTAAACTAATTTTTAAATTTGAACTTGCCCTTCATTTATACATCTTTATTTAAACTATTAAATAACTGTATGTACAACTTTAGACTTGAGAAATACCGTGTGTAGTTTAGTGTAACCAGTAGTTGCGATGTCTGTAATAGATAAAAATCAATTTATGTAGTTTTCAAGTGCTAGAGATTTGATTGTTAGTGCACTCACTTGGATGGTATTATAATAACCATGAATGGTTATTGGTTATGAATAGATATGCATTTGAACTCTAAACACATGCATGTATGGTTTGAACACGTTAGTTTATGCCTTTCTGAAAAGTTTACCCCTGTGGTTTCTCATTTTGTTTACCAAGTGAGCTCCTCAATGAACAAACCGTTTGGATCTTCACTTGTGAGGGGCTGAGGGATTAATGTGTACTTTCTCCTACATTATTAGAGAAGATTTAATATCCCATGTCTAAGATCTCCATTATCTAGCTTCTCACATTTCTTATTTCTTTATGTCACTGGGAACTCATAGTTTCTGTACTAAACTATCTTTAGGCTGGTGTGAATATGGAAACTTTGACAAAAAAGCTTCTATCCGGAAGGTAATACACTTTGTCTCATTATTTTATTAAATATTAATGCCCAGCTTGTATTCTGCGATTGAGTTGTGAGGTACTAATCTATATGATTAAATATTGCTGATTGTCAAGGTTGTTTTGAATTGTTAAACTATTGTTCTTGATGAAATACTGAAATGTGTAATGGATTTAACTATATAAGACAATATCTAACAGTGTGAGATTATTTATTCATATGACTATACTCTCTTAGAGTTCATGTGTCTTACCCTTAGCCACTGTGTTTGCTTTTTCCAAAGAACTATGGGCTCTGAGCTAAAAAACTGCATTATTGGATACAGTTGATCATTGGTTCGGCCATTTTACAATGGAAATTGAATAGTTTTTGCACAGTGAAGAGATTCAGTAATAGATTTATGTAGTGATTTGCTCTCATGTTTTCTATTATACTGGTCTACAGTCTCTAGACGAATTTAAATAGTCGTTTAAGCCCTTTAAACATCCTAAAAGGGTATCTAAATAGTCTTATTCCACCATTCACAATTTTATAGGCTTATTTATGGGTTTGTGTTATCAGAACTTATAATTTAGACAGTCTCATTCTAAAGTTAGCTTCTTCACCTATATCTTCTTACATTATTGCATATCATACAAAAGCATCACCTTTTGAAGCACATAAAGTGTACTTCTTATCATCTGTAGAGCTGAGCAAAACTCAACACTATTTGATGAAAATTCATTTTCTAAAAAATGCAGACTCTGTCCTTATTCATGTTATTTATTATTGTTCGCTGCCATTTATTATTAGGTTGAACCACGATAGCTTGACTCATTTCGTTTACAGACCTAGCCGCTCCCAGCTTGGTCCTCCACCTCACCAGACGCCAACGACAAGTCCCTGTCACTGTCTTCGACTGTTCGCATTGTTGGCTATTGCAGCGTCTCCACTCGCTGTTAATTTTAGACCTCCAAGGCTCCGAAGTTCGTTATCGGGTCCTGTGACCTGCTATCCTAGCAACCTCGCTCACTCGCTCCGGTGGCCAGCCTCCAGACATTGCTCTAGCATCCCGATCTCTTGAACTCCTGGTTAGTCCATCCTCACAGGCTTGCCTTATTTAGCAATTATGACTGAATTTATTTTAAGCCTATTCTGGAAATTGTATCACTCCCAATTCCCATTGCTTGCCTAATTGCCCTTTGGTTGATTGAGTTACTTGAGAATCCAGATTGGGGAGATGTTGGGAGATCTTTTTTTAGGTAAATATGTGGGTAGTGTATTTTGTTTGGTGAATCTTTGATTCTATACAAATTATTGAATTAAAGGTCGGCACTTTTAGCTATTTATGCTTAACTATTTTTCATTAAAAGGAGAGGAAGCAAATACGGAAATAGAGGAGAAATGAGTATGAGTATGAGTGATGCTTAATTTGAGTGCTCTTTAAGACCACCTCAATATATTAGTCCATCTCTTTTAGATACCAGGATACTTAATCTGTATTATAGTTTGTTGTTTATGAAGATTTGTATGGTTGTTTGCTTATTTATTTGTATAATTGCAATGATTTGTTGAATTGTTGAAGATAAGTCTACTTTATATTTGAAATTATTATTTAATATCAGTGTATTTATTTAAGCAGGTTTGGCATATAGCAACATATTATACAAGAATTGTAGTGATTTATTATATTGGGTTAATACTGCGTATATAATTATATTATATGTTGTTGACTCAATATACTACTCCCTCTGTCCCCCTAACTTTGTCCTGTTTTACCTTTTTCGTCCGTCCCATTAAGTTTGTCCCATACCATATTTGGTAATATTTGAGTGATTACAATTCATTCTTACTTTATTCACACTTTATCAATTAAATACCAACCACACAATTTTACTTTTTCTTAAAAACCATACCACACTCTTTTGTCCCAAACTTAGGGGGACAGAGGTAGTAGTTTTTTATTGAAAAAAACACAATTGTAGAATTGTTGCATGACTTGCATCACATAATATCATTGTTCTTAATTTTTATAATAAAGTAATTCTGAACACTTAATGCAGGTGTGCTAGATCCGCCACTGCGGGCAATGAGGTCTGTTTGGAAGAGAAAAATTTTCAGAAGTGTTGATTCAATTCGAGTCAAACCATTCTCTGCACTTGCACAGCTGAGCTATATTTCAGATTATTCTAGTTCTGATGGAGAAAATTCAAACAGTAATTTCACCACAACTGATTTAACCCAAGATTGTTCTGAAGTAAGCTCATGTGGGGCTGCAGAAATGCTTTACAAACTCAGAAACAAACCAATTTCTGCATTATCATATTTCCGGAAAATGAAGGAGCGTGGGTTGAAGTGCAACGTTGATACCTTCGTGGCAATCATTCATATACTTTGTCATTGGGGTATGGGTATGAGATTAGATTCTATATTGTTGGAGGTGATAAAAGCAGATAATGACAGTTTGGGTTTCAATATGGCAGAATTGCTTGAGGCATTGATGGAAGATCTCTATAGTGAGAGCCCTGATTCTATAATTCGGACCCTAGATGCACTAGTCAAGGCTTATGTGAGTTTGGGCATGTTTGATGAGGCCATTAATATCATTTTTACTAGGAGACGTGGTTTTAGTCCACAATTACTGTCTTGTAATTTTTTGATGAACAGACTTGTTGGGTCTGGGAAAGTGGATATGGCTGTGGCTGTTTATAAGCAATTGAAGAGGCTTGGGTTTAACCCAAATGTTTACACGTACGGAATTGTGATTAAAGCCCTTTGTAAAAACGGGAATTTGGAAGAAGCATCCAGTATTTTTGGGGAAATGGAGGAATTGGGTGTAATTCCTAATGAGTTCACTTATTCCGCGTATCTTAACGGCCTTTGCTTGCACGGCCACTCATCTTTGGCTTATGTAGTGTTGCAAGAATGGAAAAAGACGGATGTACCCCTCAATGCATTTCCTTTTACTGTCGTTGTTCGTGGATTAGTCAAAGAAAGGAAGTTTTCAGAAGCAAAGTCTCTTTTACTCGATATGGAAGAACAAGGTCTTGTCCCTGATGATTATACTCACGGGGTGCTAATTCATGCTTATTGCAAGGCAGGGAAAATCACTAATGCTTTGGATGTCCATAATGAGATGACTAGAAAGGGCATTAAAACTAATTGTGTGATTGTTAGCTCTATTCTTCAGTGTTTGTGCCAGAACGGGATGACATCTGAGGTTGTTGAACAATTCAACATTTTTAAGGACCTTGGAGTTTTTCTTGATGAGGTTGTTTATAATGTTGCAATTGATGCACTATGCAAGCTGGGAAAGTTCAAAGAGGCTTTGAAGTTGTTAGACGAGATGAAGGATAAGCGGATGACACCAGACATTGTGCACTACTGCACTTTAATGAATGGTTATTGCCGAAGCGGACAATTATTTGACGCATTTTCATTATTTAGTGAAATTAAGGAAAATGGACTGGAGCCAGATGTGGTTACATATAATGTCCTTCTAGGCGGGCTTTCCAGAAATGGTTTGGTTCAAGAGACACTTAGACTACTGGATTATATGAAGAAACAAGGTTTAACACCGACCACTGTTACATATAATGTCATTATTGAGGGTCTTTGCGTGGGAGATATGGTGGAGGAAGCTGAATTATTTTTTGATAATCTTGAGTGTAAATCCATAGAAAACTGTGCTGCCATGATAAATGGATATTGTCGGTCGGGGAATACAAGTAAAGCTTACAAGCTCTTTCTAATGCTGTCCAAACAAGGTATGTCTATAAGGAGGAGTTCTGGCATGAAACTTATGACTGCCCTTTGTGTGGAAGGTGAATACAATCAGGCTCTAGGAATATTTGAGATAGTACTGTCTTCTTCAGGCAATGCCCCGTGTATGTCGATGTACAACCATATCATAGCTGCTTTATGTCGTGCTGGGGAGATGAAAAAGGCTAGGTTGATGTTTGATAATATGTTATGGAGAGGGTTAACTCCTGATGTAATTATTTATACCATGATGTTAAATGGTTATTGTAAAGTTAACTGCTTACAGGAGGCACACAATCTTTTTGAGAGCATGATAAGTAGGGGAATATCTCCAGATGTGGTCACCTACACAGTTATGTTTGATGGTCATTCTAAGGGTTTAACAGGGACAGGGTCATCTTTCCATGCGGGGGGATGGAACAAAAATGACAAAACTGTTCATGCTCTCCAGTGTGAAATGAAGGAGATGGGGTTGACCGCTGATGTAATATGCTACACCGCTTTGATAGATAGTCATTGCAAATCTGATAGCCTTGAAGAGGCTATTCAGTTATTCAATGAGATGATTGATAGAGGTGTAGAACCCGATAATGTTACATACACTGCCCTTCTGTGTGGATTTTATAGGCATGGGCGTATAGAGAGGGTTGCCAGTCTCGTGAATGAGATGATGGATAAGGGAATAGAACCTGATAATCATATGATGACATTATGCAGTGACTTGTTCAAGGCCAGAAGAGTACGAATTAAGTGTAAAACGTGAGGATCTCCTGTGTAAGTCTACAAGTACGGTATCATTTCTCATTAATGGCAATTATAGATAAAGATATTCTTTTTTGCATGTATTGTATTTGTATTTACAAATTTATTTGTTGGCTTAACTAAATATATCATATTTATATTAACTTGTTTGTAATTTTTTGACCATATTTTGGTAAATAAAATGAAAAATTAGCTTCATTTGATAAAAATGGACTCTTGTTGGGGACGAAAAACTTTTTTCGGGGACAAAAGTGCTTTCGAAACATGATTTTTTGGATGGAGCCATGGAGTGCTTGATTTTCTTAGGGAAAGTGCTTCTATGATTCTGAACTGTTTTAGTTTTATGTCAGATCTTGCTAGTTGTGAAAAACTTTCAATGACATATGCTTCGAAGTTGTGTCATACAACAACAAAATATGTCATTACACTCTACTCTGTCTATTGAATTATCGGGCTAGAAGGGATGAGGGGATTATCATCATTCATGGAGTATGCAATTAGTGGTGCTCAATGGGTGTGTCGATAGCATGGCATGTCTCCTCTATCGCTGGGGCGCCCAGTATGGGTATGGGTGAGCTACTTGCCAGCCAGGAGACTCAAAGACAGGTGAAGTCAGGTCTCTTTTGATTGGGTATATGCTATGTGTGGCCATTTACTCCCAGTTTAGAGATTTAAAGATTTTATTTGTTTATCATTTTCCACCATTACCCTTATTCATCCATTAATGCTACATATTCTCCCCGTTTTTATATTTGCCTAGTTTGACCAAATTATATGTTAGAAAAAGTACTGGGGGTCATAAGTGAATCAAATTTTTATGGTGTAATACTTCACCCTAATATTTCCTCGTCAAAAGCCACATTCTCATTTATATTCTTGGTGAAAGGGGGTAAGTTGGATATTTTATTAAGTATAAAGTGGGAAAGAATATCTTATGGTCAATCTAGATAGATAAACAGGAACAGTAGCAGTATTTAAAACATTAATGAGGATAATATAATCATATTTCACTGCATTGACTTTGATTTTTGAAAAATCATTGCTTAAATAGCATACGCAAACAAATTAAATGACACTCACATTAACGAGGATAATATAATCATATTTCACATGCTTGGTTTTAACCATGTATTCTTTCAGCATTATGAAACTCTACTAGCTGAGACAAGGAGCGAAAAGGAAATCTTAATATCTAAATCAGTGGCTAAGGCACTATTCGCAAAACATTCTATTTACAATCCAGAACTGAAATGGTGACACATACCCCATCCGTTACAGATGCAAGTTATTTATACAATGGGATATCAAAAGTTTCAAAGAAGAAGACATTCCATGCAAGTCCTAATTGTTTTTGTTATTTCTCTCTCCCCAGTAAATAAGTTTTGTTACCATTAGAGAAATCAAGAATTTATGAAAGATAAGAACTGCAGAAAAACTCTAAAGTAGAGGAAAGGTGCATTGGTTTATTTTATTGTTCATGCTCTTCTTTTATGTACTAGATAAATTTAGGGCTAGATGAAGATTTTAATCTGTTATTGTCTTTTTGTGCAGGAACGAAGATGCGTTGTTTTGATCTCAATGAAACATATAACACATTTTAGCTGTTTAGAAGAAGAGAGGTCATTTTCTTCATTGCTAGTGGACTTCCTTACCATGTTGCTTGAGTTTGTGTTGCAATATTTTTATTATCATTTTGTTCGTCAGGGAAATGCTATTATTGCATTCGAAGGATGTAAACATGCAGGACCTTGAAAAGCAGGTAATTAGATAAGATCTCAGGCATTGCCCCATTAAACCTCCTTCCTAGTGAACTTATACGTAAATGCAATGACTTTCATTTTTCATGTTAGCCGACCCCAAAATGTTTTGGGAATAACCCTTGGATGTTTTTGTTGTAGAGATATATAAATTTACATTGAAGCCCAGAAAAGGTTTGCTAAGATGGGGATTTCTGATGGGAAGGTACAATTTTATCTAGAAGATAACTAATGTAATAATGCATGTAAATTATTGACTGGGGATGTAACTTTGTTATTATTCTATTTGGAAGTGGCCTTTTAGTTCTAACAAGTCTAAGTGAATCGGACACTGTTTCATTGACCTCCACCAGAGCGTCGTGACTGGCCGGGAGAACACCCCCTTTCATGATCTCTTCTCATGGTAATCCGTTTTTTTTTTCAAATTCATGCTGTGTGTGATCTGCTGAGAAGGATGATGGTTTGTATTCTCCCTCCTCATCTAGGGAGAAAGGTTAGAATGTGTAGTACTCTGTTGATCCTCTGAAGCAGAATGATTACGCTTTTAGAGATAAACTTACAACCACTCCATTGCCCAGGATGACACCAGCTCCTTTTGGGTATGAATGCGCTTTCTTGCTGGACTCACCAGCTGAGATGTCAGTCCTTGTTTCCTCAGGATCTAGCTCTAAAGGGTATGGCAGACATCAAACTCTCGTTCTCATTCATCTGATCCTGAGTTCTCTATTCACTGCCCCACTGGGGATTCCATCTTCCCCGCTTTCCACATTCTCCTTGAAAATTCCTATAGGCTCTATTTTTGCTTTGCTTCTTAGGAGTTCGATCCCTAGACCGTGTCATTGTCACGAGAATTATAGTATTTTGGGAAATTGAGAATGAAGTGTGGATTAATCGATTATTATTCTTCAGAAATGAAAAGTTGCAGTGAGCTCAAGCGGGAGCTCGGTTTATATAGCAGTCTTAACAAGTTAACAGTTACTCTTTTTATCGCATCATAAATCAAAGGAATTTTATCAATACAGGGCCTGAACGACAGGTTAATTATCAATTAGGGACGTGGAAGATGAAAATTGTCGATATAGAGCCCCCCAAATGATTGATAACTATCAATTTAAGACCTGCAATATACTGTAATATATTTATAATTTTTATTATAATTTTTTAGATATTAAACTAATAAACTTTTGTGAATAAAAAGACATTGAACGCTAGCAATTGAATATAAAAATAAAGAAATCAAAATCTATTGTATTATAGGTTTTTGATGGATAGTTATCCGTCTCTCGGGCCCTATATGGACGATTGTCATCTTTCATGTGCTTGATTGATAGTTAACATATCTTCCAAGTCATGGATTGATAAAATTCCTAATTTTAAAATGATTGGGATTATTCGTTACAAATTATCAACTACTATGAGTTACAACTGTTTGATATTCGATTGTTGTACTTATTTGACCATACCGCTACCTCTAATCTCCTTCTGCTCAACGCAGTGCAATCTAACATATAGCTTCTTAGCTGATTGTTCAGATTTAGAAAAAAATAGCTTTTGACCACCCAGAATATACATTATTGTGGTTATATATAAAAAGTTTTAATAGTCAATTTTTCCAGTTTCAATGACACAATCTTAAGGATTGTCATATTGTAATTAATAAAATCTTTAACTATTTTTGCCTCATGAGTCTATTATGCAGTTATGCACTTCAGTAGAGTCGTTGTGTGAGCACATGCATTAATCTAGAACCTCATTCCCACAAGTAGTGTGTATAAGTCCATTGATTAAGATAATTTTGTCTCCATGGTTAAATGAGGGCATCATGAAAACTAGCTAATTTTAACCATGCATGCAACATTGTCTAACTCAATGGACTTGATCACTTGTAGTGTGGTTGGTACACGGAAATCTGGCGATGAATTGTTGAATACTAAAACTGAAATTGTTGAAACTGAACAGAAACGATGCAGATGAGGCAAATTCGAGAGTGCCTCGTCTCTCCTGTTGAAATAGAAACTGAAATGATATTAAAATGGAGAGAAGGATTTTCTGTGTATTTCATTAGAGGGTTAAGGCCCTATATATATATTACAAAGATGGAATATTCCTATATAAGATGCTATACAATAATAATGTCTAGAGTATATTCCTAAAGCATATTCCTAGATACAATAATACTTTCACACTCCCCCTCAAGTTGGAGCATAGATATTTATCATGCCCAACTTGTTACATAAGTAATCAACTCGAATCCCATTTAGAGCTTTAGTGAATAAATCTCCAAGTTGTTCTCCAGTCTTCACATACCCGGTAGAGATTAATCCTTTTTGTATCTTCTCTCGAATAAAATGGCAATCAACCTCAATATGCTTTGTTCTCTCGTGAAATACGGGGTTGTTTGCTATGTGTATAGCAACTTGGTTATCGCACCACAACTGAGCAGGCATTGGTGTCTTCAATCCAATTTCATTCAATAAATGGTGTATCCATATTATCTCACATGCGGATTGTGCCATAGCTCGATATTCTGATTCAGCACTAGAACGAGAAACCACATTCTGTTTCTTACTCTTCCAGGATACAAGATTACCACCAACAAAGACACAATAGCCAGATGTAGATCTTCGATCATCTTTAGAACCGGCCCAATCAGCATCTGCAAAGCATTCTATTCTCATGTGATCATGGTTTTGATAAACAATACCTCGTCCTGGTGCTCCCTTTAAGTAACATAATATGTGTTCTACAGCAGCCCAATGATCAATGGTCGGAGATGACATGTATTGACTCACTACACTCACAGAATAAGCAATATCTGGACGGGTGACTGCGAGATAATTAAGCTTTCCAACCAGTCTTCTATATCTTTCTGGGTCTTCAAACGGTGTGCCTTCTTGAGTGAGTTGCACGTTGGGAACCATGGGTGTTGTACTTGGTTTTGCCCCTAATTTCCCTGTCTCAGCTAGTAAGTCAAGTACATATTTACGTTGAGATAGAAATATGCCTTTCTTACTTCGTGTTACCTCAATTCCCAGAAAGTATTTCAAAGAGCCAAGATCTTTCGTCTGGAATTGACTCTGCAGAAAATTCTTAAGGGCCAAAATACCTGCATTATCACTCCCTGTAATCACAATATCATCAGCATATACCACAAGCAATGTGACACCTGATTCTGTTTGTTTGTAAAAGACAGAGTGGTCTGATTTGCCTTTTATCATTCCAAATTGTTCAATTGATTGACTGAATTTCCCAAACCATGCACGAGGACTCTGTTTCAGACCATAAAGAGATTTGCGAAGTCGACAAACTTTACCATACTCCCCCTGAGCAACAAATCCCGGAGGTTGCTCAATATAGACTTCTTCCTTAAGGTCACCATGCAAAAATGCATTTTTAATGTCCAACTGATGTAAGTGCCAATCATGAATTGAAGCGAGTGAGATAAGTAACCTGACAGATGTTAATTTAGCAACAGGAGAAAAAGTGTCAGAATAATCAACACCATAGGTTTGAGCATAACCCTTCGCAACTAATCGGGCTTTCAACCGAGCAACAGATCCGTCTGGGTTAACCTTAACAGCAAAGACCCACTTACATCCAATAGATTTCTTCCCTGTAGGTAAGTCAACCAAATCCCATGTACCATTAAGATCTAAAGCATTCATTTCCTCTACCATGGCTTGACGCCATTCAGGATGAGACAAAGCTTCTTTGACAGATTTGGGAATAGAAATAGAATCAATGGAAGCAATAAAAGAACATGAAGCAGGAGATAACTGATTGTACGACACAAATGAAGAAATAGGATGAGTACAAGACCGTGTACCTTTACGTACTGCTATTGGGAGATCAAGATCTGATGTGGAATCAAGATCTGAAGATGCAGATACTGGTTCAGGACATGAGATCAGAGTCGAACTAGTATCAGGAAAAGTAATCACAGGTATCGCCGGTGGAGGGTGATCAGGTGCTTTGTGTCGACGGGTGTATACCAAATGTACGGGAGGCCTAGGGTCATGAACAGTAACTTGTGGAATATTTGTCGAAAGTGTGGACTCGGGAATAGTCATCGTGTAAATGAGAATATCATCATTACTCTCACGAATATCTGCCTTGGATGATGAAAAAGGTGTATTTTCATGAAATGATGCATCAATAGAAACAAGATACCGACCAGTACTCGGACAAAAACATCTATACCCCTTTTGGACTCGAGAATAACCCAAGAAAATACATTTTAAAGATTTCGGATCTAACTTTGTTAGATGAGGATTAACATCTCTAACAAAACAAGTGCAACCAAATATTTTAGGTGGGATAGGAAAAAGCTCTCTGTTTGGAAATAGACAATGATAAGGAGCTTTACCATTCAAAACAGAAGATGGCATTCGATTTATCAAAAAACATGTAGTAGACACGGCATTTGCCCAAAACTGTTTAGGCACATTCATTTGGAATAGAAGATCCCTTGCAGTTTCTAAGAGATGTCGGTTCTTTCGTTCCGCAACTCCATTTTGAGGAGGTGTATCAACGCATGAAGTTTGATGAATAATGCCATGTTGAAGCATAAATGACTTAAATGTATCAGATAGATATTCTTGGGCATTGTCTCCTCTTAACACCCGAACAGGAACGTTAAACTGAGTTTTAATTTCAGCACAAAAGGAAGAGAAATGAGTGAACAGCTCAGATCGACGTTTCATGAAATACAACCATGTCATACGAGAATAGTCATCAACAAAGGTAACAAAATATTTAAAACCATCTTTAGACACAACCGGGCAAGCACCCCAAACATCAGAGTGAACAAGGTCAAATGGAGCATTTGCTCGTTTATTAACTCGCGGGCCTAAGCTAGTACGATGGTGTTTCGCAAATTGACATGACTCACATTGTAAAGAGGTCATCTTATTAAATTGGGGATTTATTTGCTTCATTAATGGGAGAGATGGATGTCCTAATCGGTAATGAGCATCTAACAAAGTCCCAACCCCAAGACAAGAGATACCTTTGGTGATGGATGTATCCAAAATATATAGACCAGCTGACTCATGTCCTTTACCAATAATCTGCTTCGTTAACAGATCCTGAAACACACAATATCCCGGAAAAAATGTTACAGAACAGTTAAGAGTACGAGTTATTTTACTGATGGAAAGCAGATTAAATGCAAAATTAGGAAGACTCAAAACAGGCGATAATGGTAATGTAGAAGTTGGAACAACAGTACCAGATCCAAGAACGGGTGAGGTAGATCCATCAGCTAAAGTGATACTAGAAGTAGGTAAATATGAATAAAATGACGATAATAGACTAGGATTACCGGTCATATGATCTGTGGCACCTGAGTCAATGACCCATTTCGAGGATGAGGAAACAAGACACGTGTTTGAAATACCTGAATTAGCGGTTAACGAGATAGGGACAGAGGAATGCTTTAGAGATTCTTTGTAGCAAATAAATTTGGCATACTCGTCTGAAGAAATAGCAATTGATCCATCGGATGAACTGGTAGCGGAAGCAACATGAGCAAGCTGATTTCCTTGATTTTTGAACAGCAATTTTCTACATTCTTTGATCAAGTGTCCGGGCTTCTTACAGTAATTGCATATTACTCCTCTGTCAAATTTACCCGCACAAGACATAATTCCCTTGTTTTTTTTTTCCTTTTTTTTCTTTTTCTTTTTTTTTGTTTTTTGTTTTTGCAGTTTAATTGAAAATAGAGATAGCGGTGGAAACTTACAGCAGCCTTCTCATTTGTGGGCTGAAAATGTTAATAAGCAATCAACTGGGCCTTACTCCTACGGACTCTCCAAGCTTCGTCTTTTACTTGGGAAGAAAACACATGTGCTAACAGATATCCATTCTTCAACAATCAGATGCGCTAACGAGATGCGACCGACCGGCAAATTTCCTCCAGCCCACAAAGATATCCGATGTGAGATACTAGCAACCAACAAATTTCCTCCAGCCCACACAAATATCCGTCGGATTCCCTCCCTTGAGAAAGAGCGAGAGAAGAAAACTAGAAAAGAAGTATCACTGCGGATGTAGTGAGTGCTTCCAAAGGCCGTGTGGCTGATGGGCGTCGATTTGGAGTTGCGAACTTCAAACCCTGGTCAGAGACGACAGGGATGGTCTTGTCAGAAATCCGCCGGGAAGATGGTCGGACCTGGCAGATTCTGAATGATGTAGTTTGCGTGATACTGAGATTCTGAATTTGCTTGAACTAAGGGTCTGAATAGAGGTTCTGTTTAATGGTGATGGTGTGTAGAGAGGTTCTGTGCTGCACTGAGTTTCTGGGAGACAGAATAGTACCTAGAGGTTCTGAACTGAACTCAGGTTCTGGGAGAAAGAACTGAGTCTGAAAACTAAAATGAAATCTGAAAAATAAACTCAAATGGATGTCTCTGATACCATGTTGAAATAGAAACTGAAATGATATTAAAATGGAGAGAAGGATTTTCTGTGTATTTCATTAGAGGGTTAAGGCCCTATATATATATATATTACAAAGATGGAATATTCCTATATAAGATGCTATATAATAATAATGTCTAGAGCATATTCCTAAAGCATATTCCTAGATACATTAATACTTTCACATCTCCCAAGTCCCAGTCCAGATCCAAAGTTCTGCCTAACTCCCTTCTTCCTTCCTTCCCACTCTTATAGTAATTATATTCTAACGGGCCAGCCCATATTCTCTGACATGGCCCAGAATCCTTATTTATACAATACCACACTTATTTAATATCAATCTATTACTGCTATTGTTATTCTCTACAGCCCAGGGCCCTATCATATCCCCCCTTCGACAACCACCTTGTCCTCAAGGTGGGTGATAGGTGACAGCCTTGATCTTCCACTTCATCTTCATCGTGGCACCTCTACCTTCCCAGTATCTCACTGATTTCTGAGCGGGGAGCTTCAGCACTTGATCTTTCCAATTTCATTCTCTCCATTAACCTTTAAGCCTTCAATAGCCACAAAATTTTCTTGCTTTCTTGAGGCTCCCCCGAGGTTCTCTCTTCTGAAACTATCAGTGTGCTGGATGCAAGTTTGATGTAGCTCAACTCAAGGTCTGCAAACAGCCCCATGCAAACTTCTCCAATTACCATCCACTTTTCTGTACGGCAGTGTTGGTCACTGTCCAAGTGTGTTTCCAACACATAAACCTCATAACGGACCCCGTTCCCACAATTCATTGCCATAGGCCCCCCTGTACCCTTGAGCCTCCTAACTAAGATGCCTTTACTTCTTAGAAACCGAGCTCTCCCTTCCACTGTGGTTTCTCACGAGTCACTGATAAGTGGGACACCAGGACCCCCATACACATGAATCATAGTTTTATATGGAAGAGGTCCCAACCTTGCTTCATATGGTTTATATAGAGTCCCATATAAGGTTGTATTCCCCTGTTGTGCTTTGAAGGAGTTGTCTCTGGCTTTTCCAGTTGGAACCTTTTGAGTATTGGAATACTCATTGGGGTTGGTTGCTCATGCAAATGTATGCTGAAACTTCCATCAGGCAAGGCGAAAACTGAGATTTTGGGAGGTGAAACCAACAATTTAAAAATGTCAACAAGTCTATGCATCTGATGATCAAGCACAACCACGTGTTTTCCTCTCCCCTGTGTCAATCTTAAAAGTATTTCTGGAGTACAGTTTAACTCATGGAACAGTGTGGAACCATAAAGGTGAGATTCCTAGGAGCTATCAAAAGTGCCAGTGAAGTATAAAATCCCAGCATTTTCTTTTATGCCTATCACTTGCTCATTTAACTGACCCAGCAATTGTAAGATTGCACCATGAACAGGACCCCGATCGCTACATCTTGGGGCATCAGAAGAAACCTTTCCTAAAGTCCAGACAGCCTGCTCACGAACCTCATCAATTGGAGGGCTGCGTTCAATCGTCAACAGCTTTCTTAAAGACGCCGTTTCTTCATATTGTTGGGGTTTAGAATAAAGTGTAGTGCCCAATTCAGAGTTGTTCACATCTTCTTCACCATCTGAATAGACTCTCTCTAAAACTCGTAGATGAGCACAGAATATAGTAGGTTTCTGCTCCCCAATGTCCTCAATTAATAGTTTGATATCCCCATGCCAAATTCCTATTGATGCCCCATGGCTGATGAAACATACTTCAATCAATCGATCAAAAATACGAGCCAGAGGGAGATAGAAACTGTATCCATCATTCAATGAAAGCGATTCATTCACACTCTCTAGTAAACGCTTTACCCCATCCATAATAGTAACGATATTATTATTTGAAATCCAAGCACCTTTAGGGTCTCTAGTAGTCCTACCGGTATACATTCTTGTCCAACTGTTTATTTTCTTCTTTGCTGGAAGATCGAAGTTCTTATCCTCTCCAGTTTTCCATTTGAGTCCCGAATCATTACAGATTCTCGGCAGCATGTGAATGATGGAATTATTGGTAATAGCAGGGTTTGTCTTATAAAACTTCAACAGCCAACAGAAATTTTGCACAACAGTGCTGCCATCCGATGTCAGATTCTTTAACAGCAAAGGCACCAAGTTTAGGAAGTTTTCTTCTCCTATTTGCTTTCAAAAACTAAAAGCAAGACTTGTTGCTAAAGGCTTTCATCAAAGATGGTTTTGACTTTGGAGAGACTTTTTCTCCAGTTGTAAAACCAGTTACCATCAGAACTCTTCTTACTGTTGCCATCACTAATCATTGGCCTATTCAACAGCTTGATGTGAACAATGCCTTCTTAAATGGAGAACTTGAAGAAGAAGTATACATGGTTCAGCCCCCTGGATTTGTACACTCGGATACATCTTTAGTCTGCAAGCTTCATAAAGCCTTATATGGCTTAAAACAAGCCCCAAGAGCCTGGTTTCTGAAACTTACATCTGCATTGTACAGTATTGGCTTCAAACAATCAAAATGTGATCCTTCTCTTCTTGTCTTTATTCAAAACAGTATTACAGTCTATGTTCTCATCTATGTTGATGATATTTTAGTCATTGGAAATCATACTCCTTCTGTTGACAATCTTATTCAAAAGCTGAACTCTTCATTCTCCCTAAAGCACTTGGGAAATATTGACTTCTTCTTGGGTATAGAAGAAAACTTTCTCTCTGATGGCAGTCTTCATTTATCTCAAACAAAGTATATCAGGGATCTTCTTCAAAAAGCAGGGATGACTGATTCAAAAGGCTTGCAAACACCTATGATCAGTTCCTGTAAACTAACTAATGAAGGAACTCAGGCTGTGGAAGATCCTACATTCTACAGGTCCATTGTAGGAGCCCTTCAATATGCAACTCTCACAAGACCTCTTCAATATGCAACTCTCACAAGACCTCTTACATATGCAACTCTCACAAGACCTGAGATCAGTTTTGCTGTTAACAAAGTTTGCCAATTCATGGCACAACCTCTTCAACAACACTGGAGAGCAGTTAAGCGTATACTCAGATATCTATCTGGTACTCTTAAGCATGGCCTTACTCTCAAACCAGGAAACTCAAACACACCCATTCCTATAAATGCTTTTTGTGATGCTGATTGGGCTTCAGATCTTACTGACAGGAGGTCAACCTCTGGCTCTTGTCTCTTTCTAGGACCTAATCTTGTTTCGTGGTGGTCAAGAAAACAAATCTGTGTTGACAGATCTTCAGCTGAAGCTGAATATAGAAGTCTTGCAGATACAACAGAAGAAAAAATTTGTGTCCTCATGTCTCTCTTAATTTGAGATGTATTGTTTATATTTCATGGTGTAGAAAAATGTTACATTATTAGAAAAATGTTACATTAATTTTCTGATTAGATTGATGTACATATTTAGTCGGATAGACTTAGTTAGTTGTAGATAAGCTCATAGTTATCTAGATCCTAATTTTTAGGATCTGTACTAGCTAGTAGTTATCTGTACAAAGTGTATTTATACTCTGGCCGTATGGCTCATTCAATCAAGGAAGTTTTATTCCTAAAACTTACATGGTATCAGGACAGGCCGTTTAAACACCACAATGGTGAAAACCGAGCACTCTGACTCTTCTCCCCACTCACAAACCCATAACCCTAACTTCCAAAATAGCTTAATGACAAACTACCAGACCTCAGTTCATTCATCTATGCTCATTACTGGTCATAGATTGAATGTCACAAATTATCTCGAATGGTCACAGTCTGTCAAGCTGGCTATTGATGGAAGGGGCAAGCTAGGGTACATAACTGGTGAAATAAAGGAGAAACAAACTGGTGATGATGGCTACCGTGTCTGGAGGTCAGAAAATTCCTTGGTGACAACATGGCTTCTAAGTTCAATGGATGCATCAATTGCCAAACCTCACATGTTCATGAAAACTGCAAAGGAGGTATGGAATTCCATTAAGGAAACTTACTCAGATCTTGAGAACTCTTCTCAGATTTTTGAATTAAAAACCAAGTTATGGCAGTCCAAACAAGGAAATAGAGATGTCATCTCTTACTATGATGAGATGGTATCCCTATGGCAAGAGTTGGATCGGTGCCATGATGATGAGAAGTGGGAGAGTGCCAAGGATCTAGCAAGACACCAAAAAAGGGAGGAAAATGATAGGATCTACATGTTCATAGCAGGAATTAACAGAGATCTAGATGAAGTTAAGGGGAGAATACTTGGAAAAAAACCTCTACCCTCTATTAGGGAGGTATTTTCTGAAATCAGGATGGAGGATAGCAGGAAGAAGGTTATGTACAACATTCCAGTACATAATGAGGAATCTGGGAGCTCTTCAGCAATGGTGGCTAGGAGTGATGACAAGAAAAAACCTTGGTGTGATCATTAGGGAGACTTGTTGGAAAATTCATGGCAAACCACCAGGAGCAGGAAAGAAAAAAACTTAGAAGGCCCTACAAACAACTATGATTGAGACTCAACAAGAACCACAAGTCAAGTTCAATCAGCTTTCATTCACTCAGGAGCAGATAGGGCAACTTCCTTAATTCCCAGAAAACCCAAAATTTCCAAAAAGAATCCAAACCAGAATCTTCCTCTTGCTCTTATGCCCAAAATGGTACCTATTCATCATTTTTTGTTCTTGGAAATCTAAAAATTCCTGGATTATTGACTCAGGGGCTATTGATCACATGACCTCTATTTCAAATCCTTTTCCTTCATATAAACCTAGTGCAGGGGATAAAAAGGTTAAGGTTGCAGATGGTTCTCTATCAGCCATTGCAGGGATGGGAAATATTAGTATTTGCTCATCACTGAATCTATCCAAAGTCCTTCATGTCCCTAATCTATCCTGCAATCTTGCTTCAGTTAGTCAAATAACTAAAGATCTACAATGTTGTGTTATTTTTTATCCTTTTTATTGCATTTTTTAGGACCTGGCATCGGGGAAGATGATTAGCAGTGCTAAGGAGGAGGATGAACTCTATATCTTTGATGGAGAAACTCAATCAAATAAAAGAGGTCCAAGAAATGCTTGTTTGCAAACTGTTTCTTTTTCAATTAATAAAGATTTATATTTACTTCATTATAGACTAGGACACCCTAGTTTCTATTATTTAAAAAAGATGTTTCCTCAATTATTTCTGAATAAAGATGCTTCTTTGTTTAATTGTGATATGTGTGCACTTGCAAAACATCACAGAAACACTTATTTACCCCATAGTTATAAACTTACTAGTCCTTTTAACTTGGTACATAGTGACATTTGGGGTCCATATAGAATACCAACTTTAAAGGGAAAGAAATGGTTTGTCACTATTATTGATGATCATACTCGTGTCACATGGGTATTTTTAATCAAAGAAAAATCTGAAGTTGAGAAAATATTTAGGGCATTTTATGCTATGGTCCAAACTCAATTCAATACCAAAATTAAAATGGTAAGAAGTGATAATGGCCGTGAATATTTTTCTTAAACTTTAAACAACTTTTTTACTGAAAAAGGCACTATCCATCAAAGCTCTTGTGTCAATACACCAACTCAAAATGGAATTGCAGAAAGGAAAAATAGACATTTGCTTGAAGTCACTCGTGCAATCATGTTTTCAACAAACATACCAAAATATTTGTGGGAAGAGGCAGTGTTACATGCTACTTATTTAATTAATCGCATGCCATCCAAAACTTTAGGATTTAAAAGTCCTATCAGTTCACTACAACACTTCTTTCCTACAATCAGATTGGTAAACACCTTTCCTTTAAATTTTTTTGGTTGCACAGTGTTTATAAAAAATCCAGATAGATCTGCAAGTAAGTTTGATCCTAGAGGAAAAAATGTGTTTTTCTAGGTGTTTTTGCCATTAAAAAAGGGTATAAATGTTTTGATCCTACAACCAAAACAATGGTTGTTACTATGGATACTTTTTTGATTCTTATCTTTAGGGGGAGAAATTAAGTGAAGATGTTCCAATAGTGTCACATATTCATGAAAATCTTAATTTTCTTGATATTAATCTGGATGATAATTTCTTTAGAAATATGAGTACACCTGAAAATGATCAAGAAATAAAAAATAATGAAGTAAATCCAACTGAACCAATTGAAAAGGATCAACAGACAAGTCAGTTCTTTGGAAAAGTTATGAGAGAAGGGTTAGAAATCAAAGAATAGAGGAAGTCCAAGAACCTACAACTGTCCATGATTCTGCCTCAATGCCAGGAAGTGAAAAAGGTAATACTTCTAGCAACTTTGACCTTCCAATTGCTCTCAGAAAAGAGAGAAGAACATGTGTTAAATACCCCATCTCAAACTATGTTTCTTATTCTAAATTGACCCCAGATTTTGCAGCCTTTGCTTCCAAATTTCCAATATTTCTTCTGTTTCTATTCCCTCAACCATACAGGATGCTCTATCTAAACCTGAGTGGAAGAAAGCTGTTTTGGAGGAGATGGAGGCTCTTGAAAAGAATCAGACATGGAAGCTTGTAGAGTTACCTAAAAACAAACCTACAGTTGGTTGCAGGTGGATTTTCACTCCCAAGTTTAAGGCAGATGAAAGTTTGGAGAGGTATAAGGCAAGACTAGTTGCCAATGGTTACACACAGACCTATGGAATTGATTACACAGAAACCTTTGCACCAGTTGCAAAGTTAAACACTGTAAGAATTCTTTTATCTCTTGCTGCCAATTTAGACTGGCCATTGGCCATTACAACAACTGGACGTGAAGAATGCTTTTTTAAATGGGAAACTTGAAGAAGAAGTGTACATGGAACCTCCTCCTGGGTTTGAAAATAAGTTTGGGTCAAAAGTTTGCAGATTAGAGAAGGTTTTAAAGAGCCTGGTTTGACAGATTCACAAAGTTCATAAAGAAGCAAGGATTTAATCAAGCTCAAGCTGACCATACTTTATTCATGAAGTTTTCAGGTAAGGGGAGATTGCAATCTTAATTGTCTATGTAGATGATATTATCCTCACAGGAAATTATCACACAGAGACTAAAAGGTTGAAAGACAAACTTGCTCATGAATTTGAGATCAAAGACCTAGGAAATTTAAAAAATTTCCTATGAATGGAGATAGCTAGATCAAAGAAGAGTATTGTTGTCTCACAAAGAAAATATATCCTAGATCTTCTACAGGAAACTGGAATGAGTGCATGTAAACCAGCAGACACTCCAATTGACCCAAATCAGAAACTGAGAGATATCAAGGAGGGAATTCCAGTTGATATTTACCAATATCAAAGATTGGTGGGAAAATTAATATATCTGGCACACACAAGGCCAGATATTGCATTTGCAGTAAGTATGATGAGTCAGTTTATGCATCATCCTCTCCAAGAACATCTTGATGCTACTTACAGGATTCTGACATACCTGAAGAGCTGTCCAGGGAAGGGATTGTTTTTCAAAAAGGGAGACAATAGGACAATTGAAGCTTTTACTGATGCAGATTATGCTGGCTCAATATATGATAGGAGATCTACTTCTGGATACTGCACTTATGTATGGGGAAATCTAGTAACCTGGAGAAGTAAGAAACAAAATGTGGTTGCTAGAAGTAGTGCAGAATCAGAATTCAGAGCTATGACTAATGGAATATGTGAGTTACTCTGGATCAAACGAGTAATCATAGAACTAAAGATGGAGATTAGGCTGCCTATGAAGTTATATTGTGATAATAAAGCTGCTATAAGCATTGCTCATAACCCTGTGCTACATGATAGAACTAAGCATATTGAAGTGGACAAACATTTCATTAAGGAGAAGATTGAAGCTGGAATCATTTGCACGCCATTTGTATCCATTAAAGATTAAACAACTGATATCTTCACCAAAGGGTTATTTAGACCTATATTTGAGCTACTTATAAGCAAGTTGGGAATGCATGATATATATTCACCAACTTGAGGGGGAGTGTAGAAAAATGTTACATTATTAGAAAAATGTTACATTATTAGAAAAATGTTACATTAATTTTTTTATTAGATTGATGTACATATTTAGTCGGATAGACTTAGTTAGTTGTAGATAAGCTCATAGTTATCTAGATCCTAATTTTTAGGATCTGTACTAGCTAGTAGTTATCTGTACAAAGTGTATTTATACTATGGCCGTATGGCTCATTCAATCAAGGAAGTTTTATTCCTAAAACTTACACATGGTTAAGTTTAAGCCTGATGTGCATTTCTATGTAGCACATTAGGATTATTCAGGTTTTGATTTAATCTTTTTCATGATTTTATATTTGAGTTTTTGCTTTCTTTTTCTCTACTGTTGATACTGCAGGACTGTGGTTAGTTTGGTGCATCCTTTTGACCTTTCTAAGGGGGAAATATCACATTATGTTGATATTTGTAAAATATTTTTAAGATTGTATGACACTCACATTATTTTAATGTTTGTCAATAACCACGGATTAATAAGATCTGATTTTTTATTGTACAAAGCCTAGCATTTACTTTATAAGTCCGTATTGATATTTGTAGTAACTTTGTTGCCAAATAGAGTATGCTTTAATGAGAGGTATTGGAATGAAAAAATCTGTGATTAGATAGATTTGTCATATTATTTGCATGTAGATGAAAAAAGACAATAAGAGTCGATCAGATTGAGCAAATGTGAGATGTTTTACGATATTAGTCCTCGAAATTTATTAAATTATGCCATTGTTGAATTAATTGAATGATATTATGAGTGTTTTTTTAGTTTGATGTTGCTCTATTTGTGAAAAACTAGTTAAAGTATAAATAGAGCAACTCATTCCAGGAATATATTTTTAGAATTTCCACATAAAACCACGACTACATTTTCCTTGGAAAACATTTCACAATTTATTTTCATGGGAAAATAACATCCCATTGTGATTTTTATTATTTTTCAGTTTTCAACTATAATTCTTCATGTTGAATTAATTGAATGATATTATGGATCATCAATTTTTTCATGTCAAAAAAAAAACTATAATTCTTCATGGATCATCAATTTTTTTAGTTTAACTTTTTTTTTGCGAACTTAATTGAAAGGAAAGTGAGAACTTAATTCAGGGACGGAGGGATTATGATATTTTTTTGTATAGGAAAGTGATGGTTTAGAAATAGTAGAATGACTTAGTTTATTTGACCCTTTTCCCTTTGAATCCCAGGCTTTGATAAAACCTCACTGTGTTTGAACATTTACGTTCCTATTCTTTCCATTTTTAGGAAGTTTGTCACATTGTTTTGTGTTTTTATGGCTTACCATATGCTAGCTAGATTTAGCCCAAAAGCAACAAACTTGGTCTGGTGGGGTGTTTTTTTACAAATAACATTACTGAAGATGACACTTAAAATCCAATTTACATCCTCCCATATCATCTAACTGCCCGGTCGATGTTGGAGGGTCCTCAGGGATGAGGTGTCATCATTTTTTTGTTGAAGATGACACTTCTCTCCCGGCCCTTGGGAGTGGAGAAGCACCTTTGCTGTATTGGGAAAGATCTTCTCGAGCCACTGGTACTACTTTTTTATGCCATGAGCTAGTCTCTGCATGGCCTGAGGGTATTTCTGATAAAGACAATGAAGAGGGTGCTATGTAGGCATCATTATCTCCATCTCTTCATTGCATTGGCTCAGTTTCCCCTTTTCTTCTACCTTGGAAATATTAGCATTAATTGGTTCTTATGAGTTATGAAGACATCAACTGTATGCATATATGCCTCATAGGCAGTAACACAAGGAGCAATTTGCTTAGATGAGATTTTATTCTCTTTTGTACTGTATTATTGTTTGGTTCTTTTATGAATCTATTACATTGTATCATCTTTGCCCAACAAAATGTACCATAGAGCCATGGACTCTTGCTCACTTCACTGTATTTCACTCGCAAATTTTTGCGTCAAAAAAACTTGTTGATTTTTTTTTGTACACTCAAAAGTAAGCTAATGGAAATATTATTGTGAGCTTGTTTGCAAGGCATATTGACTTCTTGAGATTGATTATATTCAAAGTTCATCCAAACTATCTGTAATATAGTTACTCTTAGTACATTTTAATCATTAATATATTCAATTAGTGATTCATAGAAGTTACTCCGTATAAAGAATCATATTTTAATATTTCATATTGAACCATATTTAATTATGGTTGGACTCGGGTCGGGCCACCCGGCCCGCTACTGTGCGGGACCGGGACCGGCCCGGTTCTCGGGTCTGGGTCCGGGTCGGGCCTAGGCCCGGGGGTAGGGCGGGTCCGGGCTCGGGTCTCAAATTTGGTGAACCGGCCCGGCCGGGTCGGGCCCGGGCCCGGGCCAAATTGATTTTTTTTTGATTTTTTTTCATTTTGGGGTTCCACCCGGGCTGGGCTTGATGGGTAGGATGAGTTTGGGAGGGTAGGGGGTGGGGGTGGGGGGGGGGTTAGGAAAGCCAAAAAAAAAAAAAATCCAAACCGAAGGCCCGGCCCGGCCCCGGACCGGACCCGGTGGCTACCCGGACCGGTCCTGGGTCCACCATTCTTGAACCGCCGGCCCGACCCGGACCCGGCCCGGACCCGAGTCCACCCCTATATTTAATAGATTTTTTCCTTTCTGATGTATCAAAAACTAATAATAGCGTTCCATAACATTTTTTTGATACATTAATGAAATACGAAGTACTCCGTATATGTGTAATGTGTTCAAATGGGAGAATGTAAATAGTTGAGACTATAAAACGTTGAAGGCTTGAATAGTAATATCCCATCGATCTGTTGAACTAAAAATGCAAAAAAGTAAGGTTCGTTATATATGCAAAGTACTTAAACTAGGATTAAAAACAATGTCAAAATGAAGAGCCTCTTGGTGATCCTTATATTCGCTTCATTAGCCTCATCGGTCCGTGTTTTCACTAAATATGTAACTTTTTTCCAACACGCTAAATTGTATATAATAATTAAAATAAGTCACGTGAAATTACTTTTTGAACAATTTTTCCTTATAAATTTTTCTTTATCTTTTTAATCGAATATGTAATTTTAATTTTTTCATAAGTAAATAGATTTAATCAATTAAATTAGGCTAAAGGGTCAAATAAGCCCATGTACCTGTCCGTAATGCTCAATTCGCCCCCTGAACTAAAAAAAGCTTCAATTGACATCCTGAACTGGATAAAAAGTTTCAAATTTGATAATTTGCAGGTAACCATCCGGTCAACGTCACGTCATCTGGTCATGTGTCAACTATGCATCTGAGGTGGCAACTCAATGGGTCAAATAAGCCCTGAACCCAACTCAATTGTTCAATTCACCCCTGAATCGTTAAAAAGTTTCAAAATTACGAAAAATAAAAAATAAATCTATAAGGTTGTCAGCCTTATCAACGGACGGTAGTCCTCTACTACACACCTCAATCTCAACGTTTAAACATCCTTTAAAACAAACCAATCGACCTGTATGTAAATAAACACATCCACAACTTACGAATCTAGCAGATCTGTGTATATTACTTCCACAGTACTCAAGTGTTTTTTTGCACAAAAAGGATTACGATTATACATGCATGGATTTCTTCTAACCATAATGTAATATGTTTCAAACCATAATGTGGTCTATGGCAAAAGGGAAAATCACAGGTGAAGAACTAACTCAGTTGCATTGATGGCAGTCGATGGAGAGGGATTGCAAGTCTATGATCAATGGAGAGGGGTTGAGTCGGGACTTTTGGAATTTAATTATAGAAAGGGCAAAAATATACGTAGTATATAGGAGTCCTATTTTAGGGATTAATAAATTTAAAGTTCTAATTCGGAATTTTGACAATTATTGATCCTAGTTAGAACAATTCCTTTTATTTTGTTTAAATATATAATCAAATAATACAAACATACTTGAAATAATTAATTACATACATAACATTTATGACTAAAATAAAAATTGTATAAAAAAATGTGACTGGATAGTGACTAGAGTAGTAATGAAATATCTCCTCCGTCCCAAATTGTTTTGCAAAGTCAATATTTTTTGGTCAACCAATAATAAAAGTCAATGCTCACTATCAATAATTAATTCAATTTTTAATAATTAAAATTTATATATTCATAAACTACATTAAAATCTCTTCAAAGTTGTAAACTTCAAATTAGAATATAATTAAAAATTGACATCCTAATTAAGCGAATAAAATGAAAGTGTTATGACCAAGAAAAGTCAAATTTGCAAATCAATTTGGGACGAAGGTAGTAACAGTACGAAGTAACTTTTTTTTTGGAAAAATGAGAATTAATTATCATTAATACAGCTTCATTGTTCAATACATGAGAAATAAAAAGAGTCATTCTATTTGTACACGTTCTTATATACGTTCTTATACACTTGTCTGTGACAGGTCATTTTTTTGTCTGTGAATCGGCGTGTTTTGTCTGTCACAGACAAAAAAATATCCACAGACAAGTTTTGTCTGTGAATCTCGTTCACAGACAAAAAAAATGACCTACCACAGACAAGTGTATAAGAACTTGTATAAGAAAACGTGTACACATAGATTTTTTGAAATAAAAATAGGTGGCAAATCACTCCAAGAGGTGCAATTAGACATAGAACAAGCTGCTTGAGCCAAACCATGATGCTAGATTGTGATAGCTGTAAGTCATATTTGTGTAACATGCTTTAATTTTGTAATATTTTTGAAAAAATCCCTACATACTTGCTTATTATAAATTCTTTCTTTTAATCTTAAAAACTGACGCCAAATAAAAAAATCGGATCTTTTAAGAGAAGCCACGTTTTCATGGACTAAAAATAGATGAATTTGTTATTTCATGGATTTTTCAATTTTTTTTACTTCTATTTCAGAAAATTTCCCTATTATCATTAGAGCCGAAAAGGGTTTCAATAATTCACATGTATATATATTTATACATAGATATTTTCACATATATTTTTTATAAAAAAATATTTGAAATATAGTTTTTCTACATTTGATTAAATAGAGAAGCGACTAAAAAAATAGAGAAGAATTGTTAGAAGTGCAGCAACAATTAAAGAGACTAACAGGCCGGAGTCCAACAGTCACCACCTTTCTCATTGGAACATTTGGCGGGAACGCTCCATCCAAAACCATAGAATTGGCTAGCGGTTAACTTTCTCTCTTTTTTTTTCTTCCTTTTTTGCGCATAAAGGCTTCGTCTTTCTCTTCTATATTCTGAAACTATAAAACATAATCCAAAACTCATCTCCATTCTGAACTCTTATTGCTCTAAAAATGTCAGACATCCCCTCCGAAATCAACCTCCAAATACTCCTCCTATTGCCAGCCGATTCCCTTTTTCGCTTCAGGGGTGTTTGCAAAGAATGGCGCCGCCTCATTGATGATCCATCTTTCGTCAAAGCCCACACACAAAATCAAATCTTTTCAAGCACTGTTCTTATCAGAAGCTCTCGTTCGCGGTTTCATCTCGTAGATTTTGACTCGCTAGAATTCAGTAATGATCAACCATCTGGCCATCTCCGTGCAAGCCGTGACTCGCACAGTAACAGTCAGATGGTTGAAGCGATTCCCGTGAAGCAATTGGTTCGTCGTGACGTGCCTCGCTTACAGCGTCTTCCGGTGAATTCCTGCAACGGGCTGGTTCTTATTTCTACTTATGACATTAATAAGATATGGGCGGTTTGGAACCCGTTAACTCGAGACTGCCATCGGTTGCCCCTGCCCGATTGCTCTAGTTTTTCGTTTTCGGCTTCGGGTTTAGGTTACGATCATGTTTCCGACGACTACAAAGTTGTTAGGATGGACACAATTTCCCATGGTCAAAAATATGTTTGCAGAACTCTTGTTTACAGCTTAAAGTTGGATTATTGGAAGAGAATTAAGGATTGTCCTTATGATTGTTTCCGCATTCTTGGTCGTTGCAGTGGGGTTTGTGTGAATGGGAAATTGCATTGGTATGCATGTGAAATGATCATCACTCTAGATCTTGTTACAGAAGAATACAGCCATATACCTCTTCCCCCCAAACCCTCATCAGAAGAGATAACTTATATGTATTTGCATGCTATTAATGGGTTAGTAATTTTGAGTTACAGTTACATTACAAGCATTGGGTGTCAATTTGAAGGATGGGTGTTGCAAGAATACAGAGTAGAAACCCCTTGGAACAAATTGCTCTCATTTCAGCTGAACTGTTTCCAGTCACTCAAACTGGTGGCTTTCCTGAAGAACAAAAAGCAGGCTATTCTGGAGCATGAAGATGGTTTTGTTGTTGTTGATATTGAGAGCAATTCAGTGAAGCAGGTCAGAGTTGATGGCCTCATTGGCATTTCTTCTCAAGTTTGTCCCGGAAGTCTCTACCGCCTCGACGATCGTGCCATTACCCGTAAACCCGTCTCTTCTTCAACAGGTGTGAAGAGGAAGAGAAAACAGACCAGAAACAGGACTATTACAAGGTTAAAACTCCATTATTATGATGGTTTATGAGTTAAATTTGATGAACTCAAGTTTTTGTTGTTTTAGTTTTATACTTGGTACTACGTACCTAAATGGTTACATGACAGGGAAAACTTTAAATTGCAAAATAGATTCATGATGTTATGTTGCTAACTTGAAATTATGAAATGTTATGTAGCTCTAGTGTTCCAAAAGAGTGCCAAATTCGTGATTCTTGGTCAATGTTTGTCAACTTTGTTAATTGTTTTAATGCAAAATATTTTGAATATGAAAATTATATCAAAAGTTCCACATTAAAATGTTTTTTTAATTACATACAAATGCAATAATCAAAATAATTGTCAAAAGTTTGTCATTATTGATCAAGAAAAGTTGAAATGTCAAATTTGTTTGGGAGGGAGGTAGTACTATTTTTCAACGTTCTA